TGGAAAATCGTCCTGTTGTTCCGCTTTTGTGCACACGCGAGCTTTCATCATACAGGCGCTCTTAACTCCCTTTATTATTAAGTTTTGCAGATCTCTAAGACTAATAAGAGGTTAAAAGATGCGCTTCTTAAAAGTCTTGGAGTTCGGCCAACCGATTCCTCCGGTGTTGACCGACTTTCAGAAAAGACGGGCGCGGTGGCGGTTTACAATTTGCCTCCCTTGCTTGCCGAACGGACTGATTTAACAACTAATCACCACTGATGGAATGCAGAACCACTCATCTGATAAGACCAGTCCATCTGGGGGGCCCTCTCGTGGAATGTATCGTACGTATTCCCTTCCTGCCGGCACCACGATTTCAAGCGATGTCCACTGTGATGATTCTATACTTTGATGGGAGAATTGCTACTATTTTTTGAACCTCAACGGCTTATGCCTGCTTCGCGACATCGCAGCGCCACAAGTTTAACGATGACACAGCTTCAAGAATGTTCTCAATACCTTTCTCCGTTCGAAACCGCGGAACTTCCGGAAGGAAGGCACACACTCCCTGCCTTGTCGTTGGCAGCAACTCGTTGATAGTTATAGTGCATACATTGTTCATTGATATGGCACGTTATTGAAATATTTTGTCAAAAATAATGTACACACTGCTTCCGGGACACCTAATTAGCTTCCTTTTGCTTTGTCACGTTACATTAATGAACCGTTTGGCATGTGCAGAAGTGGTATGAATAGTTTTTGAGGACGGTGGACCAGCAAAGGCAAAAGTTCGTGTGAAAAACTGGTTGTTCTGTTGTTGTGCAGTTGCTAAACAATACATTACACTATGTTAGCAGCAAATAAAGAAAGGATAATCGTTGCTATTTGATGTTGTCTTGCAGGATGAAGGGTGCAGCACTGCTAAGGAGTCCACGCCAAAACCAGAGGTTGATTGTTTAGTCAAATAAATCGTCTGGCGCGGCCTAAATAATGTAGAGATTGACGGTTTTTGCGTTCCAGTGTGTAGCGAAGGAAGAAGGACCACCCGATGCGAAAAAGGCGAAAACGTCAATTGAAAAAGTAACAGAAATTGTGACGACACGTACAGTTGAAAAGATAGTGTCGGTGGGTATAGGAATCCCTTTTTGGAGTAAGAATGTCTATTGAGGACGGGTGTGGTGCTTCTTGAGACTATTTGAAATAGTCGTTGTAATAGGAAGGCTATTGTTTTCAGGGTGAAGAGGGAACTACCGGAAAGACACCTACGCCGAAAGTTGAGGTAGGCTTTTGAAGTTTTCATAAATCCCATGTATCCTTTATTATATCGTTTTGTATCGTTTTCGCGAAAATATCATATTCACTGCGTAGCTTTTCTTTTCAAAAGAGAGAACATAGTGAGATACCTCAGCCTCAATATTGCGCAAAGTAAGTGCTGTTTCAGAGTGAAGGTTCGAAGACTGCTGTGCAACCTACGCCGAAGCTGGTGCGATTTACCGGTCCTATAGTTTATTACCCACTCACTCACAAGGGAGGCCTTTCAAGACGGGAGCGCTTTTTCGAAATGGTTTCTGCATGTTGTAGGGGCTCATGCGAGGAACACAGAACCATGATCCATTTTTCCTGAACGCCTCCAGGAATGTCAAAACAGTGGTGAAGAAATGGTCCAGAGTTCGATCCCCGGTGATGACTAATTTTTGCAATATAGTTTGGCGCCCCGATTGCACCAAATGGCGCCATCGTCGAGAATAGATGTCATTGTCGTGTTTTGCGGCAATTTGGAGGCGCCAACATAAATTGCAAAAATTTGTCATCACGGAGGATCAAACTTTGGACCATTTCATTCTTGGCTGTTTTCACATTCGGGGATGTTCAGGACAAATGAACAATGGTTCTACGTTCCTCACATTAACCTATACAACACTCAAAAAATCATTCTAAAAAATGTTCCATGTCCTGAAACCCCCTCCTTCTTAGTGTTCCAGTAGGTCTGTAGATCCGTAAGCTCTGGTCACGTCTGTCTAACATTTGACTTTGGTGCCAGTCCGTAGTGCTTGCTTAAAGGAATCTTCCGGAAAATTCTTGCATTCTTTCTTGACATGAATGTGTCAGTTGTGATCACTGGAAACAGCACACAAAGTTTCACGCATGAAGATTCGGTTTCCGAAGAGAAACAAACGTACAAAAACTACACTCTATGGACAATCGAAGGTAATTCGGGCGGAGCCAAAGGCGAGGCATGGAAAGAAGTTGGCCTTCGGCCGGCTACGTGTCGTCATGAGAGAATTGGTGAAGCGCGCTAAAAAAAGAAATTTTTAAGAATGTCTGGAGAGAGTAGGACAAATCGATCGATAGAATATGGATGGAGTAGAAGTGCAAGATGTGAATGCAATGAAAGCAGAAGGCCAGGAAAGAGTTTCTAGTGAAGGCACTCCAAGAACCAAGTGGAAGCATCCCCGTCGCCAGCATTTGTGAAAGACGTCCGTGGGCACTTTGAACGCGTAGCAGCCCTTTTCGATTTTTCGAATTTCTTATTACAACATACAAAGCAATAGTTCTGTTCTCTTTCGTTTTTATCGTGGATAACGGGTCTCAAGCCAGTGATTTATGGCTGAAATATAGTCATGATTTTTCCGTGAAGGATTCCTTTAATTAATGGTGTTTGTGGTAAGGTGCAGATAAGAATAAACTATCCACTAACAAAAAAAAAACTGAGACTGTCTGTGTTCACTTTTGGTTCTATAGATCATCGATATGAGGATTTCAAAATTTTTGGAGCTTCAAGCTCCTATATGTATGTATGAAGTGCAATCGAGCACATTCATACGTTCATTTGACTGTGTGTGAGAGTTGCTTGAAGGTGAAAGAGTAGGAGGACCGGGATCGAAATCAGGAGCAGTACAGGGATCAATCTATAGATGATGTTTCTGTGACTGTGATAGCATCCCATCTGCCAAACACCACTTTCTACACAACCAGTGCAAAATGTTGACGTCTTTGAGGGAGCACCGATCGTGTTCTTTACAGACAGAGTTGGGAGCTGCCTAGAATCGTATTGTTTACAGACAGAGTTGGGAGCCTGGGCTTTAAAAAATTGCTCCAACAAATGAAGAAGACTATGAAAAACGCTGATAAAAAACAAAGAAGGGTGAGGGGTCAGACAAACACTGGCAGACAGCAAAGTGTCTTAGGGGACTAGGAACGAAGTCCTCATAGGTCACACGTAAACTGGACCAAAACCTTATGTCAGTTTCTGTGCTGAGAGAATGTTATCTACTGCAGAGTTACTCCACAAATCAACACTCACCCCATACTGACTAGACTTCAGATCGGAATAAGTACAAGCGCATATTTTCAGGATGACGCTTGCAAGACTGCTCATCAGCGTTCACCGAAAGCGGTAAGATTGTCGCATTGTCACCGGCAGCTAAAATGCTTTCAATTGCAAGTGTCATCCTGTTCTATTACTTTTACAGGATGACGGATGTCGGACTGCTTCCGAGCCTACGCCATTGGCGGTAAGAACTCGCTCTTCAATGTGTTTATATCAGTCGAATGTACATCACACATCTGTGATCGCCTTTTTGAGAACTTCCATGCCGCTGGTTTCACTACTCCATGCAAAGTTATTTTATGCCACAAATTCTTACTGTAACGCCTAGTACCGTATTAACTTCGCTTCAGGTTCGCAATTTAACACTTTGACGACAGCGCGGGACACATACGTCCCGCACTTTCACACGGAAGAGGCTTGTTTTTCCTAAATTGTGCCTCCATTTTCATGCTTCAAAACTGGCCCTTCCTACTGTTGGATACGAAAAATAGTTCTCTCGTTACCACTAATGAAATTATTGGTAATGTAGTAACTGTTGATGCAAATTTGTAAAGTAAGGTGGGTAGGTGCGCGCACAAGGGCGTGTCGTCAACGTGTTAAAGACAAAAACTACTCCTGGACGGTAGTAAAGTGGCCACAGCTGCTAGTTTCCATATGAGCTCGTGGTAGCTTGGGGATGGCTTCCAAACCAAGTTACCCTGGTGGTTTCAAGGAGGGTCATGTCCGTGTTTCCACGCTGCTTGTTCCTCGTCAATGGGGGAAAATCACCGCATTTGATTGCTAGTTTAGGGTTCTTTACTACCGTCCCTGATGTGTTGTAGCTCCGGTGTAAATGAATCGCCTAACAATAAGTAAAACATGGATGTCCTATCAATTCGTCGTGTCACACCGTCAGATTTTTTGTGCTTCTTTATATTCGAGTGAGAAATGTTATTACATACATATACGGGCTTGTAGCAATAGATTCCGTGTGACAACCACTACCAGCTGAAATTACTCAAGGATAGATGGTTGAAGTTTCGGGACCGATACTAAGAAGAAATATCCCTCAGGTTCGCCATGACATTCGCGCTGTGAGATGTACATATAATCCCATGTGAGTCTTGAAACGCTGATCTGAAATTTGCCTTCCAAATCTATTGAACGAAGTTACGAACGAAAATACGATTTTCTCGCATTTTTTCGCATTTTCTCCTGTGCAGTCTCAGGCATAAGGCAATCAGTTCAAGGAAGCGTTTGTGGGGTATGCGGCCGCAGGTTGGTAGCGGTCCGACACTTCGAGTGTGGGAGTTACGGATTCGGGGCTGTTCCAGATTCCAGGTTTTTTTTTTTCTGCCTGTAAGGGCAAGCTAAAAGGCTCTACGATCTACTTCGTCGAACGTAGGCTTTACCTGTAATGATGGCGTTCTGCGCGCAAATCCTAAGATTCTCAGACAGATTCCCAATAATTGTCATGACATTTGGTAGCGCATGCGCGAGAAATCTTTCATCAAAGAGTAATGCTTTTGGATAATAGGAGAAATCTCATGGTAAACAATCCTGGCCAGCAATTGTGTGAGAACCTTACCAAACTTCTTTATTTCGAAGCGAGGGAGTCGCCTGCTGCATATGTTATCCCCCTACCAGTACTACTGGGGCTACCCTATCGTTGACGATTCTTTAGAAACACGGCCGTGTAGTCCATGTAACGATGCCACCCGGCAGACCAGATAGTATTTCTTCATCTCGAACGCCTAGCTGAAAGGTAAGCTTTACCCAAAGATCAGCACTAGCTGATAGGTTGACGGTTGGATAGCGGCCCGATTTTTGCGAACTTGGATCAAAATTTCGGTTTTGCTTGCAAAATTGCCCCTTGGAGTAGATCGACTTTAAGAACACAGATATCCTACTGATTCGGCACGAAAGCTCCTGTGTGCGTTCTGGGCAATGCCAGCAGTTATCAGCAAATGGTGCACAGACTTCATCGTAAGCTCATCTTCAGGGTTATTATAGGCAAATACTGATGAAGTAACATGTTGAAGAGTCATTTTGGAAATGCTGCACAAAAGCAAAGGAAAAAGCTCGCAAAGGAACCAATCCCACTGGCCTTGCCAAGAACCACACTGCTTTTCGGCTTCGGCTTCATAACTCCGTTCAGGAAATCATTCAGCAGAATAGACGGCCGATTTCGCATTTTTGTATCAAAATACTTAGAGGTATGCAAAATCTCATACAGAATGGCTATGGCAACCTGAAAGACTTCTTGTAAGATGATGTGTCACGATGATGTCATCTATAGTATAAACCTTACTTTTCAAAATAAACACACTTCTCCAACTGGTTGGTCTTTGCAACGAAATTTATTACGTATTTGTAGGATGAAGGGTGCAGAACTGCTCGTGAGCACACACCGAGAGTGGTAAGATTTCTGTCATTCCACCCAGCGATAAGAGGCAACATGCTATCCTTCTACTTTTACAGGATGACGGTTGTCGCACTGCTTCTGAGCCTACACCAGTGGTAAGAGATCATGCTTGAGGTCACACAGATTGAGGTGTATCAGGGAAACTGGAATTGTCACTTCTAAAATTTCAAAATTTCTCGTCTCAAACTCGGACTGAAGACAGTAATTCGGGACCACTCAAGGGCACTCTGACATGATGCCTGACGTCTGAAGAATTTTGAAATGAAAAAAGTAGGAGGCCACAATATCAGTAGGAACATGAGATGTAAGGGGAAATGCCACAAAGAAAGAATCAGCAAGGCGCCTAAAATGTTTTGCTTGGAGCAATCATTTTCCTGCGTGTTTTGAAGTGGTGGTGGTATCACATAAATGTGATGCACATACAGAGAAAATATGGTAATGATTTTTCCATAAATGAAGAGTCAGTTCCACTGATGTATGATGCTCTTTACAGCTACCGAGGAGCGGTCCGATACAGCCTGACTTGGAGTCACTAGAGTCACTCACCAGTTTCGAAAAACTTTAGTCACACCTCCCGCTCCTCTTCCTATTTAAAAGCCCCACATCACACCTTCAGCCATATAGGGGGAGGGGATTGGTGCTCCTGTAGAACAAATGGCGTGAAACGACATTGAGTCGCGCGGTAGTCAAGACACTGATAAGAGCTGCCGATTACATCCAGTCCTCCGCAAGGCCAAACGTGCTCCCTAAT